TACCGATACCATAAAATAATACATCCTTCAGTATGCATTACAATATGCTGATGAGGAAAACAAAAGCCTTATATTGATATATATTTTATTTATTATAAAAATATATTTATGTTTTTTTAAATATGTATGTCTATATTATATATTTATATTGATATACATATTTATAGTTCCTTATATTGATAAGGTAAACAAAATTGCTCACAACCACATCACAATTTCATGATAAATGGAGAAAAGATTGAAGTACTCAAGGAGTTTATTTTCCTGGGATCAATGCTTATGGAAAAGCAGCTATCAAGAAATGGAGAGACATATTGAGTTGGGAAAATCTGCCACAAGCAACCTCCTGAAAGTCTTAAAGAGATGAGATGTCACCTTGAAGACCAAGGTGCACCTTGTTAAAGCCGCGGTTTTTTAGTCACCTCACATACAGTGAAGCCTGGACAATGACGCTGGAAAACTAGACAAGAAGAAGAATGGACGTGCAGTGCTGGTGAGGAGAATGGACCGTTCCAAGGACTGCTGGAAGTACCGGCAGATCTGTCTAGGAGTAAAGGCACCCAGAATGCTCCTCACCTACTTTAGACATGTCATCAGGAGAGACTACTCTTGGTACATTAGATGATCTGCAAAAAAAGAGGAAGACCTTCCATGAGGGATTGGCCTGAGTGCTACAATAACGAGCGCACACAGAACAATCATCATGGGGCTAAGTAGAACCCAAACCAGAATAGTTCGACAGAACTAACTCAACAGCACCCCCCGAAGCAATCGAGGGTGTCTAGACTGGAAGTTCTCTGGGAGAAGCTCACTGGTCTTCTTCTTGCGGGGACATTGAGCAGATTTAAACCACCATCAATCCCCAGTAACAGCCAAGCACTTCGCTGCTGCTTCATTTGCTTGGTGGGAATCACAAACAGATACCATACCTGCAGCTCCAGTGCCCACATACCTCAGGCATAGAAGACACAAGCACCTGGAAAACTTTGTTTCACCTTCTGCAGCATTTATAGACCCTGCATTCAAAGCAGGAGTGACAATAAAAAGCCAAAGCAAGACTGTACAGTAGGAAATGGATCTAGTTCTCACACAAGCAGTTCTCCTGACCCAGGTGACAAATAACATCATGAAGACTAATGAAGGTAGAAGTGGAGCTGCTCCATTACCTCTAGCACTACCCTGACTCTTGAGATCTCTTGGTTATAAGTACAGTGAAAGCCGCAGTAGGAAGAACTCGTGTAAGGAAGAACCTATCATAGAAGGGAAAACCAAATATTTCCCACTAAAATGGGCACAACACATCGTAAGACTTGCAACCTGCCAAAAGTGCTGAACTTTGGAAACCCAGAGGATAAGTCACATAGAGCTCTCTGTCTTGTGGCCTGATACGGCTTCATTCTGTGTGCCTTATGACTGTGTCCCCAGCGTCTGACTCACGGTAGCAAGTACTCAGAAACATTTACTGGAAAGAAATTGATAACATAATAATAAGTCATTTCATTTTCTAGTTTCTGTAGCATGCCCCAGGATGAGGGGTTTATTCCTCTAGCCCTACTGATGGTCAGACTGAGGCTCCGGCTGTTACCTATCTTGAAACCACACTGTGGCAGATGACCGTGCTGCCGAACCCAGGCCGTGTCCAGCGTCATACTACCCTGCTTCTGGGATGGCATGATACCCTATGTTTTGCTGCTTGCACCCTTCATTCCTATTATAATATCATGCATATAGGAAATGGTAAAATTACTGCAAAATGCTGGTTGAATTAATTCCCTCATTAAAAAAAATGTTTGTTTTCGTTGGGAAAAATACATAACAGGCAAGTGGTAGAACAAGGAATTGAACCTGTGTTCTTTCCACTAAAAAGGTTAAGAAGCAATATTTACTTCTCTGAAAACTTATGTTTTGGTATTTATCATCTTGAATATGAGTGGTTAGATCACAGAGAAGTTCATAGTGGGATGAGTTATGAGGGTGCACCAGAGATTAACACCTTCCCACACAGCCTCCTCCATCCCCAGCTAAACAGGATTTGCCTTTCATCCCACAGATTAGGTTGCATTTTATAGTGTTTTCTATAGAGAGAAGATATGGCAGTATGCTGGGAGACAGGCTGTGGCGGAACATGCATCTGGTTTCATTCAATCTGTGTAATTAGTTTGAGAGTCACATGTTTTTACCTGTATACAAACCCCATTATTTTTTCCCAGTAGTATTCTATTGCACAGATCTAACACAATATGTTTATCTGTTTACCTGTTGATGAACATTTGGGCTTATTGCTATTATAAATATTCCATCTGCAATTTGTTACAAATGAAATTGCTGTCAGTGTTCCCCAAAAATTTTTCCTTAAAAATATGCTTTTATTTGTTTGGTAAATCCTTCAATGTACAATCCCTTGAAGGTCACATGCCAAGTGTTTAATTTTTTAAAGGCTAACAAAGCAGTTGTATATTTTATATTCCCACCACCAGTAGGAGAGCGTCCAACCCCACAACAATTGGAATCATCATGTTAGTTATTCTGACTACCCACCACCTACTGCCATCAATGTCAATTTTGATTCATAGAGTACCTATAAGGTTTCAGAATTTGTCAATCTTTATGAGAACAGATAACTTCAACTCTCTACCCTAGAGCACCTGGTGGGTAGAGGCACCCGCATTGTGTGCCACCATGCAATGTGTTCAGGATAGGCCCCTATGAGTCAGCTTCAACAAAATCATCAAGAAAAAGAATAGAAATATAATGTAATCTTTCCACTTTTTCAAGACTATGAGTTGGTATCAACAAAATGACGGGGAGTGGGGGATGGGGAATCACTACCATTGTGTCAATTCCAACTGCCCTGTGGGTTTTTGAGACGAATTATTTACAAGAGCAGAGAGCCTGCTTTTCTCCCTCCGAGTGACTTAGAACTGCTGTCCTTCTGATTAGCAGCTCACTGTGTCACGTCATACACCACCAGGACTCGTTGACCCATGGCAGGGTGTGCAGCCCTGTTTCATTTTGATCTTAGTGAGCATGTTCTCGTTGACTAATTCCCATGATCTTTGCTTCTTTTTTATGAGATAGCAAATAAACAGCCAGTCATGACTGATGCTGACTTGTGGACCCCTGTGTGCCAAAGTTGAACTGTGCTCCCCAGCGTTTTCAACAGTGGATTGCCAAACCTTTCTTCTGAAGGGCTTATGAGTGGGCATGAAATCCCCACTTTCTTTTAGCAGCTGAACATTTCATTCTTTGTGACACCCAGGGACTCTCCTTCGACCCTTAAACACTTCAATGTCCTGACCAACTGTTTGCTGTACAGAAAAGCTTAGGCACATCCCCTGCACGAGGGCTCCAAGTTTGGTGGAGTAGGGATCTCTCTACACCACCTGCTGCCGTGGAAAAAAGGCTGGTTCTTTACCTGCTGAGACCCGGGGTTTGCGTTGACTTTAGCTGTTATTGGATGGGAGCATGGCAGATGTTCTGCTTTGCTTTTGTTTGATTCTTCTTCAATGTTCAAAAAGAAATAAGATTGTCATTCTCACATTGATTTTCTGAAGTACAGCCATCCAACTCAGGGAGGTGGAATACATATCAGAAAACCAAATAGATACCAAAAAACTGAATGCTCTGTCATAAAGTCACTGCTAACTCATAGAGAGCTGCTGTAAGTGTCAGGGACTGTGACTGTTTATGAGAATAGAAAGCCCAGTCCTTCTCCCGAGGAACTGCTGGTGGGTTGGTGGTCCCAAAGTGCTGACCATGGGGATCAGAGCTCAATGCTTAACTACTGCACCAACAGACTTCATAGATATGGGAGCACTTTAGTATATATGTATATATACATACACACATATATATGTATGTATATATATGTATACACACATATATATGTATACACACATATATATGTATGTGTGTATAGTATATAAATACTATATATGCACTGTATATACACATACACTAAAGAGACTAATGTAAAAAAAGAAATAATGAAATTGATTTAAAATGAGAAATAAGGAACCCTGGTACTCTAGGGGTTACTCACTGGGCTGCTAACCAAGGAAATGATAAATTAAATCCTAAAAGACAAAAATTTTAAAAAAGATTAATGAAGAATGCTAAATAAATTAGTGAAAAAATAATAGACATTAGTCAAATATAGTCCGTAGAAACCAAATAAAGAAAAAAAAAAGAAACCAAAAAAAGTAGAGTCATAACTTTCAGAAACCTAGTATACACAAAAATTAGTAAAATATAATGTGCCCTGGTGGCTAGTGGGTTATGTGTTGACTAATCACAAGGTCAGTAGTTCAAAACCACCAACAAGGTATATACTCTCATCAAGAGCTACCATCTTGGAAGCCCAAAGGGCCAGTTCTCCCTGTCCTCCAGGCTTGCGGTAAATCCACATGGACTCGGTGGCAGCGGGAAATGATCTGTTCAATTCCAGTGGATTTAGTTTGAAAGACAAAATATAAAGAACTTTAGAAAAGAGTGGTGTATGCTGTGAAACCCTTTACATTACTCCTCATCTGTACTTAGATCAATGACTTAAGCTTCTTGAGCCTCTGGTTGTGTGTCTCTACAATGAGGATAAATGAACTCTGGTGACACTGGTGATGCCATGGTGAAGGGCTTGGCTATTAACCAAAAATCCAGTGGTTGGAACTCCACCAACCTCACTGCAGGAGAATGATGTGGCCGTGTGCTTCCATACAGATTTACAGACTTGGAAACAATGTGGCAATTCTACTCGATCTTATCAAGTATCTATGATTTGGGATTAACTCAAATAGAGCAAGCTACTCTGTTCTACTCTACTTCTATTCTATGGATAATGGTATCTTTCCCAGAAATGTATTGAGGATTAAGCACACTACCATAAAGTACACGGGAGAAACTGGCACTCACTCATTTGTGTTCCCAGATCTAGCTCAGTGGCAACATCTGAGATACTTGAGAGGTCAGATAGCAAGCCTTAGTAAAGAGTCCATTGGCAGAAATTTGAATTGAAGTGGAATGGGCAAAAGCAGCAATTTATTCATTTCTTACAAATACGGTCTTACAAACATCATACAGAGCTGGCACAATAGAACACACACCGTCTTGTACACCACGCTTCCTTCCAAATCACTTCTATTGAGTTACGACATCAGAACAAGTCAGTTACTGAGTTACACAGTTCTTTAAACATGGAAACCTTCCCATTCGGGAGGTCAGATTGGCTAATCAGACAACGATTAATTTACACATTTCATACAGTGCAGGATTTGTAACAGAATTCAAGATATTCACATTGAGTTTGCGATACATTATAAATCAGAACAGTTTTCAGAAGATGATGCGATCTCACCTGTCCCTGCCTGTTTCCATTCCTTCCTTGTTTTTTCTCCTTCTGTTTCTTGAAGCTAGTTGCCATTGGTTTCACTCAACATTTTACATTCAAGAACACTTGAAAATTTGTGAACTTAAAAAACTATTTACAAATAACCCACTGCATTTTTTAACATACCTTAAGTTATTTGTGCTGTTCCACTTAAGTAAATAAATCCCTTCTCCCACAATGATTTTAAACTAGTAACGCCATTAACTTCTGGCTGTTGGGCAAGATACGTAGGATTGGACTCCTTGCCTGACCATCTCACTGGACTTCGAAATAAGTTATAAAGGTCAGAGCCCCTGATAAACAACATACAGAACCCCAGAGCATATTCAACATTCCCACCACCCAAACTGACAACTTGTTCCAAGTTGCTGTCACAGAAATGCTGAGTGGGCCAAGATGGTCTGAGATGATTTTGTAGTGAGATGAGAACAATGATTGCGGAATATTCTTTTCTTGTCCCAAGTCAGTTTAAATCACAAAAATGAAGAGATTGGTTTTCATACACACAGAATGGAACATTATCTTTACATTAGGCATAGTCATAAAAAGCATGTATATAAGTCGCTTTGAAAATGCATCTTCATAGAGTTTTACAAACACCGTGATATCAAACACATGGTCAAAAACTCCTAAAGTACGGACACAAACCCCGAAAGACTCAAAATGTACATTTTAGTAGACTTTATTTCTAACTTGCATATTCAATAATTCAACTGCACCCAACTTTCACTCGTACATCTCTAAAAACTCAAATATAATGGAGATCCCCTCAAGTTCATTATCTCCTAGGAATCACAATGGCACTGCTTTACTCGAAAAGCTCTTCATGAGTTTCAGAGCCCGGGCGGGGAGGCTGCACGAGACCCAAGTCTATACACGGCTCCGCAGACAACAGCCCGGCTCAAGACATGTTAGCCCAGAGGTCGTAGTGAAATGCATAATCCATTGTGCTAATTTGACAGCCTAAATATATTTGTGTGAACATAGGTAAATCTTACTCGGCTGGCCATTTGACTATGCTTTAGTCATATGACTTAGCCTGTTGGTTTTAAGGAGGGCTCTCTACTTGACAGTGGATAAAACTCCCCAGGGTCTTTTGTCTGCTGCTTTAGTCTCTTCAAATAGCTTCCCCGTTTGTGAGGAGGGAGACAGGCTAAAATGGAGACTTAGTTAGCAATGCCACCTCTGGGTACAAAAGATGACTTTGAAAGAACACTTGCTCACTGTACACATTTCCTACAGGAAAACTGGAGTGGGTCTCTTGATCCATAAGCTAAGGTGACAACTTCACCAAGATACATGGGGGTTTCTTAGGTCACACTGAGGCTTGTGATAGGCAGTGAATAATTGAAGTTCATGGTTCTTATGTGAGGTCATATTTTACAACATTCTAGCTCACATGTAACCTTAAGGAGTTGGGGGAGAAAAAAAACATATTTTAGCCACAGCGTTTGCAACTCAGCCCTTTGACCTGATGATTTCTCGGCCTTGTTCACTGTCTTTTGAAAACGAACCTAAGTTACTACGTTTATGATAAAATTGTACCAAAGAGGAATGACCACACTTTTCTGTGCAGGACAATCATTTGTACACGACAGAATTAATAAAAAACAAACTACAGCACATTTCTTCAATATCTTTGGATTTAAAGAAAAAATTAATTTCCCCAAGCTGAAGAAAAAGGATGAGCTTTCATGAGAAAAGGCGTGTTTCATATTTAAATCCGTTATCCTATTGTTACCATCCAGCGAGGTGTGCCACTGAGGTCACCCCCTTCTAAACCACTCCTCTAACTTGGAATCTCAGTTCCATGTTTATCAAAGACGTGATGACTCATGCGTACCATCAGTCGCCATCTGGCAAAACTGAATATCTTATGGAAAGTATCCACTTTCTCTAAATCAAAGGGGAACTTATCATGATACACATTTACAGTTACTTTCTGGTCTGCTAAGTCAATCCATTTCTAACCAAAAAGAAAGGTAACTTGCTGTCACAAGCTCGCGATTACATATCATAAAGAAAGGGAATTGCTCCTTGCCTATTAAAAATCGCATAGTTCCACCTCGTGGCTGGGATGCTAACCATCACAAAGCACGTGCCACTTGGCAATCTGTCTCCTCGGGAAGTCACAAATCTCTTTCCAGTGCTCGCCACCACTGCCTTCTGCAGCTGCTCCCAGGACCAATCGCCCAATCACCTCATTCCGGGATCCTCTCTCAGAATCCAAAACCAGAAATTCCACACTTATCTCTTCAAGCCCCTCGCAAGGAATGTCAAAGACAAACAGCTCGTTGAAGACTGCGTTGGGAGTGCATTTCTTCACATGAGTCTTCTTTTTGGAGATCCTCTTTTTGGCGTGGAACAAGTTGACTTTGACATAGGGATCTGCAACGGCAAATAACAGGCTTTAGGCGGGCAGGCAGGGCCTGGCTGCAGCGCTCATAGCCAGATCCCTGCAGAGACACGTGGTGGTGGGGCAAAGGGGCAGGGCCCATTGCAAACAGAGGCACAGCCTTGATTTCCTTTCATTGACAATGTGCCAATGAGTACACGAATGAAATGGGAAATGAGAAGGTAGGACGCAACTACCATGGCAGGAAGCCGAAAACCAAAGCAAAGCAAAGCCCAGCTGTCAGGAAGTCTATCGGACTCCTTTAGACCGGACTGGGCTGAGGAGAGCTGCTCCCCGGGGTTTCCCAGGTGCAGCAGGCCACCCCGTTTGTTTCCATCCCCGCAGAGTGTCTGGTGGATTGAAAGCGCCACATGTGCAGTTAAACAACCAGCCACTTAACCCCGTGAGCCGCCAAGCTATCTTAAGGTGGGGAGAAATGATAACACAGAAGGGCATTGACCTTTTTGACGTTGTTAATGGACCAACCCTAGTACTAATGAGGACATCCGTGAAGATGGAGCGTGTGGTTTGGGGGAAATCTTTCCACATCTCTGGTGTCCACCTGCTTTTTCTGAAGAAGGAGGATTTGGGAGCAGGCCAGGGCCATGCTCTTTAGGACTTTGGTGTTTCTGCGGTCTTGGGGTGGCTTCCTGTTTCTCAGTGATCTTTTCTCTGTGTCACCCGGCTAAAAGCTTGGAGTGCCTTTTTGGATCACTGTACTTGTTTGTCATTATCTTTTTAAAAAAGGATTGTTATTTAGGCGAGGCTTAACACAGCAGACCATCAGTTTAATATTCAACAATTCATACACATTTGGTTTCAAGTCATCGTCTGTCATTCCCTCAACATTTGACCCCACCGCTGAGCCCTCTTCCTCCCGTGCTTCTCTCCTCATCCGAACATTGCTGTTGAGTAAATGCTGCCCTTTTGCTCTTAAATGGCTGATTTTCTACCGCAGGGGTGAATTCTGTTCCAGACCCAAAGTGTGACTAAGGGATATAGTCTCAGGGATTGCCAGCTACTTCTGTGATCACAGTACTTGATCACACATGTGATTATGCTATTTTGCCAACTTTTCTTACTTGTGAAAGATGAATTGATATATATTGATATATGAATTAATTTTAAACTAATCTAAACCTTCAAAACCATGTTTTCAGCTTTCATCACCCAAAAATGATACTGATAAATCAAGAGTGCCATGACCAGACAGAGAGTCCATTCCGGCTCTTGGCAACCCCAAGTTCTGGAGAGGAGAAGTCTGCTACATAAACTTTGTGTGGTTGAAAGCAAATTGCCAGGCCTCTCTTCTCCTGTGCCTCTGGGGGCATCCAAACCTCCACTACTCACCAAGGATTGAATGGGTTGCAGCACCTGGGGATTGTTCATTAATTCCGACAGACTATTTAATGAATACTTTTCTGATTCTCATAATGCCCAGCAAGGTAAGCTTCAAAGTTACTTAACTAATTAGACATGGAAGATTTAGGATTTATTCACGTCATTTTTACTCATCAGTCATTCTTTCTCTCGTCATGCTATACAATAAGAATTTTCTTCATACAACCAGTCACAAAAGTAATAGCTCATTTAAATTCTAATTAAAGTAGATGCATACAGGACAAAAGAAAAACAATATTTAAAAATCAGCAGGTGAGTAGGAGTAGGTAGGTTTATGTAAAATATTAAAATTAAAAACGTCCCCAAAGCTTTCATTTTAGTTTTTTCACTGTACTTTGGGCGCTGGTCTCTGACCTTTGCATTCCCCATTGCTCAGTCTGGTCTACCCCTTATAATGAGCTTCTGCTGGTGTCTAGCATCGGCTGAAGTGTGAGAATAATATGGATTTTTTCTTCTTCTTCTTGCAATTGCCATGTTATAGATGAGCCATTCATAAGCGATAAACAAAAACAATTATTTCACTTTTTATTGTGAAGGAAAGTCAAGTCAATAACATAGGCCAATCTTAGCTGGTTTGGGTAACTATTTGGCTCAAACCTTGCCTGCTTAGACACTATGCCTGAACGTTTGTAAAATGTATCCTTACCTGAAAGTCCAGACACATCGGATTTCGGCAGGTGTCGCGCTTTTAAAACCACCACAGTGAGAGTATTTGTGGTGGACTGGTAGCAGAGAGAGATCAAGAGCTCACCGCGTCCTGAAGACTTCTAAACCATCCGAGAGAGATACTCTATAAATGTTGGTATTATCTTTTATTCATACAATTGACAACCTTTAAGTATGTTCTAAAGCAATATTATAACATTATCAGATAGTTAAATTGAGTTTTTCTACTTATTTTAAAATGCTGAAGAACCTGAGCGTAAGCACAAGTTTTTGTGCAGTATTATCACCGCCTAAGAAAAACTGTCTGCCATCTTGTGGTCATTTCAGGTACTACATACTATTAAAATATGCAGCGTTAGCCACACCCATTACTGAAAAGGTTAAAAAGGGTTTTTAAAGCATAACCTACTCTGGGGTGTTCGTGGCTGTTGTATTTTCATTACGCCTCCACCTTTTTCCCTTTTAAATTAATAATAAAAATTTTAAATCATTTGAAGCTGTGTAGAAAGCATTCACTTGTCCTTAATTAAGTTTTGATTTTAAATGCTTTAACCTTGACAATATTGGAATTGAGATTCAAAGCAACTGAGATGTATCCTGATCTTACAACTACTCCGGCTCACATGGCTTGTGGGGTTCACGTTTCCTACCCTCCTTCCTGAGTTGATTCTGACTTACGGTGAGCCTGTGAGAACAGTAGCATTGCTCCAGGGGCCATCAAAGCTGTCATCTGAATGGAAGCAGATGAATGCCACACCCTTCTCCCACACAGCAGCTGGTGGCTTCAAACTACAGACTTGGCAGTGATAGCCAAGCACTAACCAGTGTTGCCACCCTCACTTAATCTAAGGAATACGTTCAATAGCAGGGAGAGTTGCCTCCAAAGTTTTAACCGTTTGTCTTTGGACAATGTCACAATTTCTTCTTTTCATGCTGCAGAGATTCCTCCCCCTTTTATATACTTTTCAGGTATTGTGAAAGGTGACCAGGGGCTCAAATTTTAAGTATAAATTGAAAGTAACAAAATAACAGATTTGGGATGAGGCAATAAGAATGATGGTTAACTCAGGGCTCCTAGAATGCGATCAACAACCATGTGGAAGTTGGATGAATAAGCCTTCCAAGGAGAAAGAGAAGGCAAAGGAGGCATCTTTTCATCCTCATTATCTAGCCAGGCATCTCAAACAAGTTACATGGGTTTAAATATGGCTCTGGGCTTTGACTTTTGCTAATTTCAACAAAGAGACAAAAGGCAAGGAGTTGGTTCAAGATCAGCTCTAAAATATTATGATTTTAATAAACTCAAATTAGCCTTTAAAATATATTCTGTACCATCATGCTGCTAGAGACACGCGTGTTTCTTTAAATATCAAGATTGGAACCAAGTGGGTCCTGTGTTTAAAATAAAACTACATTTAAATTTACCTAATTGGTGTCTCATTATTTTCCAACAGCCCCTGGCACTATCAATGTGGACTAATGAAAAGGCATAGTAACCCACTTCTTTTTATATGGCCCAGAGGTAGGCTTGTATTGTTCTGTGATTTGTTGCTTCCACTTATAAAAGCAATTCTATGGAAAAATCAATAAAAGTTCTAAATCCTTAGAAACAATCAGTTAAATTCTAAATTCCAGTTTCAAATATATTTGCTGACTTCAAAGGATTTATGCTAATTGCTTACAAATAAGAAACTGTTACCAGTATTTATTTTAAAGTTGTAGTATTGACCAAAATATTTCAGATATAAATAAATATAAAATATGTAAACTATGCTTAAATATTTATTTTACATCATTAAAGTACTTTAGGCATTTCCACAGTGAACTGAATTATCTTTCATGTTTTTCTACTTCCTTGCCTACCACTTAAAATTCACAGTAATTAAACATGGCAGACATGATATAATGCCACAAACTTATCTTTTTAAGGAAAGTCCCTGAGATACAGAAAAGCTACATCACATTTATTGATGGACATTTCAATGACTAAGAATGAATTACCCTAACATTTCTCTTGATGATCTCTCTGGTCATTAACATTTTTCCATCAGATAATTCAATTCCGGAGAGAGGAATAAGGACTTCTCCAATGATATCATCTCTTGAAAACCTGTCAAAACTCAAGATTGTGAAGTGCAGGGCCAGCTCTTGGATCTGGGTGTAGGGGATCCCATAGAATGTAAAGGTCTCATCAAAAGCAGGATCCAAGGTCTTTCTCAGAACTCTAGTTTTCACTTTGTGCTTCTTCTCTGGGAGGATTGTCATTTTGATGTAGGGATCTGAGGTCATGGACTGCTCGTCCATGGCTGGCAAGCCACGGGCTTCCTTGATATTGACCACAAATGCCTTCTTCTCAAAATTGTACTCTAAAGAGAAGAAGAGAGTTCCCAACTTCTCTTGCTTCTCTTCTGAAGACACAGAAGTGCTGGACTTTAAGCTATTGGGAGATACTGCCTCCTTCTCCCCTTCTGGAAAGAGCTTTGGGGTCACCTTCTCTCCATCAGAAGAGCTGCCAGCTTTGAGGTTTGTTTTGGGGAAATTTCCATTGAGATCTCTCTTCTCGAGGTTGAGATGCAAGGAGCTCTTTGGTACAGCTGGTTTATTCTTCACTTCATTTTTTTCATCTACTCCAAACTTCTTTTTGCTACTGAGGTTTTCAGGGTAAATATCGACTCCCTTAAGCACATGCACAAACTTGTATGGAGGAGTCTTATTAGACTTGGACGATTTTCTCTGACAGCAGATCCATGCAAATAGTGAGACCGTGAAGACCAGGCCAAATGCACTGAAGATGCCCACCACAGTGGGAATTTCATCTGAAAAAATCAAACGACCAACAGTGTACATTAAAGGAGCACAGGAGGAGATATGAGCCTACTAGAAAAATGTCACAGAGCTGGCAATTACTGGCACTCGGACAGATTGAATTACTTGCTAACTGTTTTGAGTATGAGTTACGTGTCCATTTCGGGTCTAAACACATCTCCTGTGAGACATGCAGGGAAAAACAGGATAGGTTATACACTATTTCATTTCAGCAGTTTTTTTATAAGTTAAAAAAATGTGAAGATTGGAGCTGGGTCATGGGTGAGTGTGGGAACTTACTGACCCCACCCTAGTAGTCCCCGAGACTATTCCTGCGTGATCTGGGCATACACATTTAATTATTTTATTGACAGTTTATTGCTGTCCAGAAGCACCAATTCTTACTGACTCTGAAACTCTCAATGTACACTCTCCATTGCCAAGCGATTCTGTATTCTAAGCTGTTATTTAACCAGGATTCAAACAACAAGACTTTATAGACACAATGGTTCATGCAAATTCATGAAGTGAAAGAATAATATCTGCCTTTGTCACAAATTTCTCAATTATATTCTTCCCAATTATGAAGCAGGTATTAGAGAAATGAATATATATTGTGGGAGGGGAGGGCCAAGAAAAAAATACAACCAACAGGGTATTCAGAGTATGTGACTTATTACATTCAAAGTCTATTACATTCTGATCCAAAAGTCTTTACTCAAACTAGCGCTGACTAATTTAAAGCACAAATTAATTACACCTAAGATAAAAACAGAACAATGGCTATAAGTGAGTCATCATTCCTTAGCATGTAATGAGAAGAGTAAGTGAGCATAGATAATTGAGAGCTTAATTTTTAACCGATATTTTCCCTAACACATTCCCACATGGCAAATGGTAGTCACATTGAAACTGGCATCGTTCCTTGAATGAGAGCACATTAAATTACTGACATTAGGTAACACTGATTATGCATGAAGCTTATCATGTTCCATATGTAAGCATATTTCCCCAAGAAATGATGTGTGGAGCTGTGTAGGCAAAAGTAGTAGTGCTATTTCTAGACACAGTGCATCAATCAAAGTGATTATAACTAATGTAATATTGCTGGAATTTCGTTCGATTCCCATTGCTCATTTCAAATGGTGACTAATGAAGTTTAAATTCTAAGTCTGGAAAGGGTGACGACTTGTTTAATCAACCCCCCCCCCAAAGAACCGTCTTTTGTTGCTCCCATTCCCTATCCTCCAAAACCTTCTAATTACTTCATCATCACACAGTTGAACTCAGAGAATATAAAAGCAAGAAATGGCAGATAACAGAAGTATAAGGGAAGATAAAAAGCAAGCAAAATATAACCACAATAAAAAAACCCTGTGGCATAATGGTGTGAATTTTGATCATGTAGAGATTAACAAAAAATGACCTTTGGATTTTCCATAAAGAAAAGAGCAGTAGATGATACAAAGAAACACGGAGGCAAGAGCTAGAGATAATCAGTTAAACTTAGTATTGGCTTTTCAGTTTTTCCTTCTTTTCAAATCTTTGTAGGAAAAACAACAACCACAAGTCCACCCCCACGCCTGGGCTCTCCAATAACCCAAGGCCAGGGAGCAAAAGCAAACTCAAGAACGGAGGCAATTACTCAACCAAGGAGAGAAAGAACAATAAAAGCGGTAGAAAATGGTCTTTCTAAAAAGACTGATGAGCTGAAGTATTTAACTAGTACAGCCCCTGAAAATGCTAGAGCATCAGAAGATGGCCCATGTTTTAATCAGAACTTTAGAATATATACAACAACAAAATAAGCCCAAACTCTCAAAATAAATCAATCTCATGCCTGAATAGAATACCACAGATCGACTCTACCTAATAATCTTGTCAAGTGGCAAAACAGTCAGCAAAGCACAGAAAGGTCCATCTCCTCTCGATTTGTTCTCTATGATAAGCATTGTAGAGCCATGATCTCAATAATTTCACACAGTCTGAAAGCAGTGTTTCTACTTGTGTAGCTGCTACTTGTTTGCAAACTTCTGGAAATTGCTGGCTTTGAAAAATATTGGGGAAGTAAGTAAAACAATAGTCTGCTGCTTTTCAATTCATCATACTCACTCATAACAAGTTTTGAAAATGTACGATTCTAAAAATGTATCTGATACTTTTTACTGAAACAGAAGTAAAGCTCTGGTGCCAAAAATATGATCTAGGAGAAGCAACAGTGAACTAGAGTAGAGGAGAGCAAATTCTCCTGTTTCCAGTCAGTTTTAGGTAGCTGCGTGGCTTGGAATGCTCATCCTTACCTGTCTGGGCTTCACTTCCCTCACCGGTGAAATGAGATGGGCTGGGCTAGACCATTTCTAAAGTCCCTTTAACTCTAGTGTCATAGGATTCCAGCAACGTATCTTGAGGACACAAGAAGGCAGGGCAGATAAAACCATCTCCATGATACGTTCTTTAATGAAATAAACATTCCAGATCTCAAATAGGCAAGTAATTGTCTTAGAGATCAAACCCTTACGTAACCACAGACACCATTCAGCTTCTTCAGCCAAGTTAAATATAGATTTGCCTGTGAATCCAAATCACTTACAAAATAAGTAAAACCAACATGCAAACAACAGACCCCTTCTTCCTGATTTCAGCCAAGCTACTATTTACAGAGCTACCTGGACCTCCTGAATACGTAGGAACTTCTTGGAGGTGAAATCCCCCTAGCAGGAAGACAATTTTCACGAGGGAAAGATACCAAGAAAGGGGAAACCTCAGAAAGAAGCCAAGGTTGCCAGCTTACTCTTTTAATTTTCCTTTCAGATGAACTCCCTGCAATCTGTGTATCTAGCACTCAGAGCGGGTTGGGGGGCAGGAAAAATCCCACCCCGGAGCACTAGATAAAAACCGCAGTTGCAAGTTGAGCTTGGGATTCGCTTACCAAATTCTTCCCGGCTGGTAGTGATCGGAGCCATATTTTTGCTGCGTGCTCTGTCCGAGGTGCTGAACGGAAAACTCCGTAGCTTGGTTCACTTTCCCAGATCTGGCTTTCCGGAGTGCTGAAAACAACAGCGCAGAGCCCTGGGGAGCTGCGCCCGGAACTGGGAGGAGGCAGAGAGGAGGTCCACTCGCCCTCGCACAGTGATTTGTCACCCCTGTTCGTGTTTTGGCTCTTCTGAGAAGCTCGTCTCCCAGACTCCAGACGTGGCTGAAACCCGAATTGACGCAATCCTGACGCTACAGGGCTGAAATCAGCACCTGCCCCCATCCCCTCCTCCAGCCAAACCTCTCCTCTCCCCCTCCCTCTTGCTTCCTCCCTTCTCTCCAGAGTATTCAGCACACGCTCATCAATTATTTTAACTGTTGGACGACTGGAGATTAGCTTGCCTATTCTTTCGGGGTTCAGAGGCACACAGAGATGCAGCCCCAAACTGATCCCTGTCAGTTCCTAAACCAAGATCACTTGATCTTCTTCATGAGGAAATGCATGTCTCTGAGTTATCAGAAATAATATGATGTACAGAGAGGGTTAAAGGAGGAGTCAGAAAAGGAAACCACGACCTGGTCACGCAGAGTTTAAAATCACAAAGATCATTGAAAGGTGGACAGTTCGATCCCTGGTGAAAGATGAGGTATTTTGTGTCTGCATAAACTACAGCCTTAGAAATCCTTATCGGGGAAGTTCTACCACGCCCTAAGGGTTGATATGAGGCCGAGTTGACTAGGCAGTAGCCAGGTTGTTTGCTTGTTTTAGGAAGAAGAAAAACTTCTGCGCCAAAGGACCCATGTCATAATTCCAGAGCAATATCATATTCTTGTTTTCTGAATGTCAAAAAATCCACCGCATACTGATTCACTTTAAATAAAATAACGATCACACACACACACATACTTTGCTGATGCTACCACTCCATCCAGAAGTGCCAGTTTTCTTCCGTTTAGTATCTGATATTTGACCACTGAAAGTACTTTGGGAACAGATGAAAATTATTCTTTCTGCGCTCAATCTCTCTGCCGTGATTTTTCCATACACCAAAAGAGCTTCTGGGATGACATTTCTGGCCCAAGTCTTGACTTCTGGTAATCAGTGGAAAATAGATGCACGGCCCAGATCAAATGATAAGATGGCTTTATTATTGATTTTTTTTTCCCTCCTGAACTGATGATAAATGTGTGGATGCGGGACTGGGGGAAAATATAATGTCATAGTCCAATTAATCTGAATCTGAAGAGTAAGCCTTTTTAAAACAAATGTTTAGCAAATTTCCAAAGGAGGAAACTCAGGCTGTGACTCCAACTGTCAATTATTGCTCCTCAAAGAAATCCTTGGCGCTGGAGCTCAGCAAGCAAATGACATTCTATGTGTGATGAGACAGGGGAGGAGGGCCAAGGGGAGAGACTCAGAAGGCTACTACCGTACAAATGACTGATCCCTACATTTTTTAGAGAAGCCACCCTCATAGCTGTGTCTGAGGAGAACTTGGATTCAGTCTTTTGCATCATGGAAAATTTTATAAACCAAAATCTCTCCCCCCCTTCCCTCCTGCCCCCACATATTTGGCAGTTTATTTACCTTCATGCTATGAAAACATATTAACTGATCTATTCTATCATCCCACCACCACCATCACCACCTCACAATAGTCAAGGGGTGTTGGTAGTGTTCTTATCTTTCCATTCCATTTAGATTAGCTGCGTTGACAGTGGTGCATGCCCTGGTGGGATTGTTCCACCATTCATTAGATTAAAGGAAGGGTGGCATTTATGTGGGACACATGTCACAGGTCTTCACAATGTGTACTGTGAGATTCACTCCGTGTGTGTTCTAGCTAAGTTTTTTGTACCGTTATACTTATGGTATAACTGTATGACATATGGTTATACTTATGTGTTGTAAACTTAAGTGCCTTATGTGTATATTTCATATAAATTAGTGCCTCATTAATTTTACCTTCAGGTAGTAACATACTGTCATCTAAAACCTGCCTCAATTGTAGAAACTCCCTTGCAGGGAACCCCACCCCCTCCTGAGCTGTCTCCTTTCTTCAGGACACACTGTGACAAGATTATTTCTGGCCCAGATATAATGTTAATGTTATTGTGTATGTAGTAACTGTAACTGTTTCATTGCTTGCATTAGAAGGAAACAAAATAAATGCTGTTAATGAAAACAACTGAACTTGCACTCATTTCCACTCACCGGAAGAGAGCATTATTCATTGCCCAATCGCATTAGATAGGCTTCTTGCAGCAGCATAGAAGAGAGGGCAGGGTTTGGTTTTGAAGGGTTGTGATTCATGCCCTACCACAAGATTGCATTGTTCTCTTTAGAACTAGCAAACAAGTAATCAATTAGCTGACATGCGCAATGTGGCAGTTGCCTCAGAGATTCAGGAGGAGGGGTTGTTGCTAGGTAACTACCCTTTCACCACCCAAAACACACAGCCTCTCCACAAGTTTCTGCCCAGGGAAGCCCAGACCATTTGGTACAGGATTCAGTGTTTACCTTAGGGTGGATCTTTTACTGTGAAGTAGTTCAGCGTTCCCCTCCATTTATTTCTGAATTTAAGTGGCTATAAATATACTTTGAGAAAGAATACCCAGAACACCTGAGAGCAATTGACTTTTTAGAAATCCAGTTGAAACACTGTTGATAAATCAATATACGGTCGTTTTTACTCTATTTTTATCTTGTTTATATATTTTAATTACTATATACCTTTATGAACGAAGTATATAGTGTATAGATTCCCTTTACTATCTGAAAGCAGAGCCTGCTTATGAAACCTTGCATAAATCAAAATGGCATGAACTGTAGAAAAAATAGCACATATAGGGAAAAAAAGATTTAAATAGTTCTGAGAGCCCAAAAGAAAAAAAACAAACAACCTAGCGAATCATACCACATATAACATAAAATAACACTAGCATCGTGCTGCATAAATAAGGTTCACACACTCAGTTTAAACCTATGATGGTTTGAGACTGAGATGCTGACTGCAATTCTCAGGGAAGGAGCTGGGAATCCCCTCTCCCTCTCCTGGTGGTGTCTTGTTAAAGGCTCTGCAAAACAAAAGCTGGACACCAGTTTCACTTTCCAGCTTCCCCCCTTTTAGTCCTCATCCCCTCTACCTACCCCCAAAAGCAAAACTCTTGTTTGGATTCTTTCAGTTAACCAGGTCTTCCATAAATGCAAAGCGGCGTAAATCGGACTTTCAAAAAAGCAGGGCATACCTGTGTTCTCCATGCTCATCTTTAGAAACACTCATACACCTCATCTGAATCTTCTGTTAAGCAGAATAAATGCTTAGGCTTTGAAAACGTTGCCACACGCTTTGTGAATACCCAGATTGTGAATACAAAGGCATTTTAATGGTGTGTGGGTGGAGAGGAATTGAGTATCTGATGATGGATAATTGTTTTAATGTTCCACATCATTCTGTGAAGGTGGTTGACGCTATTACTAATGGAATAGATTTAAATGGGAAGCTTATCCATGTCAAAAATCCTGCCAGACAAAGGTTTTCCCAATGGGCCCTCACAACCCAATGCCCTGTGCCGTGTTCCTCCCTTTTACACATTCAACGTCTCCCTTCCTTGGTCCCGGTGCTTCGTGAATCATAAATTCATCAGTCTTCCTTTTATTTCTTCTTTTCCTTCTCAGCACATACTTAATACAAATCGACTGCCTCCTAGGTGTCAGTGGGGATTTCATTGGTCAAGATGGTACAGCTGATCCATGCCTTCATTGAATTTACAAACTATGAGGCACATCTACCTTTACCTCTTGCCTTATTTCATATCTATCAACTTCTAATCCACCCTCTTGTCTCAATGACCATTTTCTCCTTTGACTGTTTCCTGGTGAGTCTTGCGCACAGCTTGCATTCTTTCTTCCCCCTTTTCTGTCCACCTCATCACTTTTTTTTTAAGAATTAAAGTTTTATTTATATTAAACATTATCTAAATTGCCAGTACTTGTGAATTTCTCCCGATTAAAATTCTTACAGCCCCTTCTCAAAGGAGAAGAAAGCACTCCACTCGATGGATGGACACTGTCTCTTCAACAATGGGATAAGGCATAAGAACAATTGTACAGATGGTGCAGGATTGGGTCATGTTCTGGTCTGTTGCACACAGGGCAACTATGGGTTGTAGCTGACAAAACAGCACCTATATCTGGAGGCCCTGGGTGCCACAGACTTTAAGCATTTAGTTGATAAAGAAAAGGTTAGACGTTCTAATCTATTTGGCTTACTTCAGAAGTGTGGTGATTTTTTTTTAAAACATTTTATTAGGGGCTCATTCAACTGTTATCCCAATCCATACACACATCAATTGTGTAAAGCACATTTGTACATCATTCTCAAAACATTTTCTCTCCACTTAAACCCCCAATATTAGTTCCTCATTTTCCCCCTCCCTCCCCGCTTCCCCCTCCCTCATGAGCCCTTGATATTTTATAAATTGGTATTTTGTCATATCTTGCCCTGTCCGACGTCTCCCTTCACCCACTTCTCGGCTGTCTGTCCCCAGGGAGGAGGTCACATATAGTTCCTTGCAATCGGCTCCCCCTTCCCTACCCATTCTCCCTTTACCCTCCCTGTTTCACCACCCACACCACTGGTCCTCAAGGGCTCATCCGCCCTGGATTCCCTGTATTTTCAGCTCCTATGTGTACCAGTGTACATCCTCTGGTCTAGCCAGACCTGCAAGGCCAAATTCGAGTCATGGTAGTGGGAGTGGGGAGGAAATATTTAGGAACTAGAGGAAAGTTGTATTTCTCATCATTGTTACATCGCACCCTGACTGGCTCATCTCCTCCCCGAGACCCCTCTGCAAGGGGATCTCCAGTGGCCTACTAATGGGCTTTGGATCTCCACTCCAATTTTTAAAAGAAATGTTAACCTTGCGTTTTGATCTCTAATTCACTTTAAGTTAATTTTAAAATAATGCATGTGGTTTAGGTACATTTTTGTTTAGGCTTTCAATTGTTCGAACACCATGCTTTGAGAAGACGATTCTTTATCTGTTGAATTACTTTTGCACCTTTGTTAAGATCAAATGACTAGAAAAGAATCTAAGAATCATGTGAAAGCATCAAGAGCAATAACTTATGTGTACTCTGAATTGCTGAACGGGAATTTTTTAAAACAAAAACCAAATTAATTATAAAAATTAAATTAAAAAATAAACACAGAAAAAATTACCAAGG